TATTATTATTTATATAATAAACTAGTTTTATAAAATATAAGTTCAAAGAAATGATACATACAACAGATATTAAAAAGAAAAAGCATAATGAGTTTAAACCATCCACTCCCGCCAGACAAAGACATTATATATTTTTTTATTAAATAAAGCTTACCACCTACATTATATTTTTCTTTTTTGGAAGTATTAGGAAATATATTAACATATGAGATCAATTATTAAAATAGGATTATTTACTAAGCATGTTGAACATTTACTATTAAAGAATATATCTTATTATTTTTGAAAATAAATAAATAAAATTGTTTCATGAAATTAAAATTAAATGTTAAAACTTATTTTACTAAACCTTTTAATATAATATTGTATTATAATATTCAATGATAAAAATCATTTGTTCATTTATTATCATACTTTTTAATCAAATATTTAATTCCAAAATAAGTTAAACAATTTAAGTTAATTTAATATAGACCTTTACTGATTAAAAAAAAAACCCAATATAAGAAATAAAATGCCCATACTATTTTACGCGTTAATTGTATTTATTGATGTAAAACCATGACAAATATTTGTTCAAATGTTTTATATAAATATGCAAGTTAAAAAATATTCATATAATATAGAAGTTAATATTTACCAATCAACCATTGGAACTCAAAAATGTCAGTGTAACTAAATAAATGTCTCAAATTCACGCAAACAATACTTATTTAGATTAAACTTATTTTAACTTGGCTAGATTTTTACATAGAGTTGGTAAAACTACTAACATTTACGGGAAATATATAATTAGTGGTCAACAAAGCGTTGTCATTTAAGAAAAAAAAATATATTGCGTATTCTAAATTCTAAAACATAATTCAGAGAGCATGAGCATTTTTATTACTAAGTCGAATAATAAACTGAACATTATATATATATAGGTAAATGAAATTAAAATTCATATTTTACAAGAAATATATTGAGTGTCTTTAATTAGAATATTTTCATCATGTCAAATTGTATTATTTTAATTAAGCGGTGCCTTTTATTATATTTTTCGTTAACATATTTTATTAACATAATAATTACAAAACAACCGTTACAGAAAAAATGTCCAATTACAATACTGGTGTCAATAATGAATCAGGTAATAGAAAGGGTGACAAGAACAGATTCCAACATTTCGAACAGTATTTCTCAAAATAGTGGTCACAACCACATTTTGGGTTACGAGTGATTTTGAAGGAATAGCTGATAGAAATAATTAAAGTGTTTTGTTTTAACATTAAATCGCATATCGTTTCTAGGCAAATAACAGCACAAAGCACATATTATTATGATTATCAAAATACCTACTGTACGCACCGTTACACTATGCCTTAGTGATTCATTAAAACTATTATAGAAATCGACAATGTAAGGCAGTATTTGTATAGTACAATTATTACATTTTGTTTGTATAACATTTTTGCGCTTACTGAATTACCAAAATATCAATACTACTTAAAATATTAAAAAATTCAAATTAATAAAAGTAGATTTATGTTAAACATCTAAAACATAGGAGAAACTTTTCATTTATCAATTTCATTATTTTATTATTCACTAAAATAAATTATAACTATATATTATAGATACTTAACTTCAAAAACATATTGTTCTTAATTCTTAGCGTTTCTTATATAGTATTAAATTTTATAAACAATTTAAAGAAATGTTATTTTAGAACTGCAGAGAAACTATTGTTCCAATCGGAGACAATATTTCTTTTACAATGATACTATTTTTCCTGTAAACACTTTTTAGTACTATAGAATAGGTATTGTGAAAGTTTCATTTAAGTTTTCTATCGAAATTTTGATACATATTATATAGTGTTTATAGTGTTTCACTATTGTAAATTTTTCAACATCTACATATCGTATTTTTCACATAAACTTATGAGTTATGAATTAAAAAAAAAAACTAAAATTGCTGATAAATGTCTATATTTAAATTTATGAACTTTTAATAAATACAAAATTGAAAAATCAGTTTTCTAATATAATTGTTGTTACATTAAAATGCTTGCAATAATATTTTATTTATTATAATTTAAAATTTCAAAACCACAGTTTATACTAAAAAATATCAGATATTTTATACAACATCAGTTTTTAAATCCATTATTAAATAATCTATATATCTTAATTTGCTCTATTTTTATTTTTTATACATCACTAAAATTAAGATTTAAAAAAAAAACATATTTATATTTTTAATACAAAAGTAATTCATCAAATTATTATAAATTAGATAAAATATAACTTTAGAAGTAGGTAGTAACTTAATTAAATTCAAAAAATATCATTTATTCTCGATTTTTATTCAATAAATCTATTATCGATCAGAATATTTTAGTATTATGTTTTCAATAATTAAAAAACGAACACCTTCAATAGATATTATTATATTATCTTTAAATCTTGTATAAGTGAATCATTGGACTATGCGAACTAATGAGGAAAATTCGTATAAATGATTTAAATGATATTGATAAGATGAATCGATGAATACAAACGGTAAAATTCTTTAAAATTATTTAGGTATGACAAAACATCGTTTTATCATAAACATTGTAGAAAAATGAATTTACTATGTGTTGGCATCAATCTACGTTAATAATTATTCATCATACTATTACGTAGAATTATTTTATAATAATATAATAAATTTAAATGACATAATATTTAATAAATATAGACTATTTTAGAACATGTTACGAATAATGTATCTTAGTATTAGGTATACATTGATTAGCTTAATACTGTCATAGTAATATATTGTAATGTTATACTTTATTATTTATTCTTTATTCATCATTAATAATCATGATTGTTTTGTAAATTAGTTGAAATTATTTTAAATCTTACAAAAAAAAGTCGCTAATTTTTTGATACTATTGCATAATTTTAGATTAGTTTAGGAAAATGACTTGATTAAAACGAGTCTGTAAAAACCTTAATGTGTCGCTTGTTTATATGCTATTATAAGAATTGACATGATTTACTACAACCGTTGGGCATAATATTTATTTCGTTTATAATATCAATGTTATATCAGGATTTGTTTGTAATTGCAATTACCAATTTGTATGAAATATAGCGTTATTTCTTTTTTCATTCCTACGTGGTTTGGCTGATGCTTTTCTCATACAGATGATCTCGTTGGTAGCTAATTTTTTTTTATCTCCTCCGTGCGAACGCTGTTCAAAAAAGACTAATATGAATAAATTACGATGTATGTTATAATTAGTATTATCAAAACCGGTTGTAGTAGTAGCCCAAGTGATCTGATTTTGTTTGAAACCCATTCTCCTCCTTTCAGTTCACTTTTTTTATTTTATACAACAAATATGATCCTATCGGTGTGTACGTCCTAACTTTGAATTTAGAATGAGTGTTGGTTACTAACACGTTATTAAGTTAACAAAACATTAAAGATTTCAACTTCCAGCAACAGACTAGAATAAAAACAAAAAAATATATATTGTACATAATATATTTGAGTATTTTTAATGTTTGTTTAAACAAGTTTACTAGTAGTAAATATAGTTTTGTTTTTGTTTAATTTACATAAGACTGAGTTCTGGTATCGAATCAAACAAATTTAAATATTTCTTATTGTTTTTTAAGCTGTTTATAGTGTAAAAAAATAAAGTTTTTTTAATTAATAAATACGTTTAAGTATTTATCGTTTTTTATTTGAATTGAATACAGCTTATAAATACGTATATCTATAAACATATAACAACTGTGTATCATATTGAAAGCATATTATAACGAAATTTCAAACCAAAATAATTAAGTAGGTATTATAATATTCAATAGTATTTTATTTATACCGGCAATTATACAATTAAAGACACATTTTATAACAATATGATCTTTCGAGTTCAGTAAATTTGTATACTTAATGTTAAAACTTTTTTCGCTTGAATTTCTAATACCTAACTTGCTACAAATTATAATACTTTTATTTCAGTTTGAAAATAGAATCAAATTAAATTTATTTATATAAATATAAATTATACTATTTACTTTTTTAAAATATTGTTAAGCCCAGTATAAAAATGTCAAAATGAATAAAAGTACCTACTAAAATTTAAAATTATTAAACTGAAAGTTATTATTTTTACTAAGACTTAATACGACTTTTGGATACGACATCCAGACCAAAATATAATCTTCTCGGACTCGACCCAACCTGTTATTTATATACATATAATCAGGAATAATATTGTTATTAAATCATTAAGAATACATAATAGACATAAATTAGAATACATTAATTTTCAAATAAATTAATGTGTGTTCAATATTATAAAATTTACCCTAAGTTAATGCAATAATATGTTTATTAAAGTATATTTATACAACACTTTTTCATTAGTTTCAAATTCAAAATAGTAATAAAAATATTTGTTTGATAAAAAAATAAAAATTCTTTTCAAACTTTTTAAACTTTTTAAACATGATGTTATGTCATTATACACGAATAATTGTGTCATGTTAATGTTTCTTTGACTATAAAATAAAACATGCACCTCGAGTTTTTAGATGTTTTTAAAATATAATATGTACTTATAAAGACTGCATTTTAATAATAAATTTAACTTGTATAACATATTTTGATGAGGATTTGACATGTCGTCGATAATTCTATACAGGTTTATAACGTCATTGTTACCATCGTTCGTTTATTTTTGTCGTCGTGCTTTACTATATTATATTATTATTATTCACTTTGTCGATTCACGTTGCCGGTAAACATTACCAATACACATACTATGTATTTAGGCGTACAGTATATTATATTCACTTACCTCGCCGTATAGTTGCTACACATTATATAATAATAGTATATCTAAACATTAATTAACGTCTTCGTTCGGCTAGTCTTAATATATATCAATCTCTACATACATGCATTTTAACATCTACCAATTATTCGTGTGATATTTCTGCGGTGCTTACCTCTCAAACACGAGAACAGCAACAACAGTAATCCGATTTGTAGCAACGATCGGAGTGGATTTCGTCGATTCCTCCTGCTGCCGCAGGTACGATGGCTGCAACGGTGCATGGCAGCCTGTAGGTGTCGATCAGTGGTGGTCTGATGTCTTCGCCGGGTCGTACGACATGGAAATGTGTTCGGGACAGTGGGGAGAGGGTGGATTAAAAAAAAAAAAAAAAAAAATGATGGGGAGAAGGCGAAAAAATCCGAATTTAAGGATTGAAAATCCTACGAGATCGGCGAGTGGTAGATCTAGGACTACGTTATAAAATAATACTAAAGCACTGCCGTCGACAGAAGCGTGTGGGTAAGTCGTTACGACGACGACGACGATGGGATAAGACGCGCGCGCGAAGAACCGACCGTGACCGAACGACTGACGATACTGAATGGCAGCGCGCGAAGACGAGACGCCTCGTGTGTGTTGCGTGCGTACCACCGCGGCCGGTCGGTCGCCTCGTCGTTTGGTCTGCGACGGCTGCTGCTGCTGCGGTGGTACCAAGAAACAAGAAACACGCGTGACAGCAGCAGAACAACGCGTACATGTTAATACTTACACTAGCGCACAAGTTAACACATATGCTTATTTTATATATAATGTATTGACGTGTTCATATATACATATATTTTACACCGATACAATTACAGAATCGTGTGTCTGTGTGTAAACCAAATCAGCAGGGTGGTTATAGTAAGTATTAGTAGTAATAGGAGTAGGAGTAGTAGTAGTAATTGTAGTAATAGTAGTATTAGTAGAAGTAATGGTAGTGAGAGCAGCCGCCACCGCTAGGACCGGTGCCCCCCGGAGTTTATGTACACCACATCTGCTCCTTTGGGACTAGTCCGGAGACGGATGAAAAAAAAAAAATTTAAAAAAAGAAACGATTATCACCATATTATAACCCGCTGCGTGCTAATCGCTGTTTCGGAGCAGTGTATCGTTATAATATCGATATGAAAAAATAATTAAAAATTAATAAATAATAACAACAACAATATTATTATATAGGCGTTATACATGTAATAACGACTGCATAATATGAAATTATAGACACACACACACACACACACACACACACACACATCATTTCAAACGTGTCGTATGAGAATGAAGAGGGCATTTCTTTTTTTTTTTTTGATGTTCGTGATTTTACCACAAGTACGAGATGGAAAAAATATTACAATATAGGTACAATATTAAACTGCACATGTAGATACGGTGAATAATATGCGAAGCAAAACAATTGACAAAAGAAACTGCAGGGCATTATTCTCGGTGATAGATAATTCGCTTCTGCGTCGAAAACGCCCAATTGGTGTTGTACATAATATTTTCCATTACCATTATTATTATTATTAATACAACGTTTTTTCTCTTCTTTTCTTATGAACTTCAAAGGGCGATTTAAGTCAACTACACGCGATTCGTTTTGTAAACTGCAACGAGATCACGTGTTGTTCCATGGTCACCAATTTAAAAATAATATTATTATTAATTATACATTTGCGATGAGATTTGGTATTCGAGTTTTTCAATACATTAAACGTGGCTATCCTATACATATACGCAATAATAAAATGAGCAAATTATGTCCTACACACCCACAAGCACACGCGCACGCGAGTTATCGTATATTTTAAATCCATATTATATACGCGTTAAACGGAAAAGTATTTACATTTTATATGTTCAACCAATGGAAAATCCCTATAAAGTTCATCTGTCTACTTTTTTTCATATACTTTTTAATGTATCTAAAACGGTTTGGCATAAATAAATATAAATTAAAAAGTAACGTTAATAATAAACAAAGATTAGTTTTTTTTCTCAAGAACTTACTGTTCAACTCTTTTAATTAGGTATATGTATTATATAAAGGATCGAGAAGTATAAAATTATACTCAATTATTCAAATCAGTTTAAATACCATTTATGTTGTAATATATCTATAGTAGCAAGTGCTAACAAAAATAAGTAAACCAATTTTTTATGTGATAAAACTATTATTGATATGCATGTATTTAGATTTAAAATTAATCGTTTTGTAATAAATTATAAATACATATTATATACTTATTATTTGAGTCTAAACGGAAGTGAGGAAGTTATTTGTTTTATAATATTATTAAATGTGATGTCTCATTAAATACTACCTTGTTGGTAATATGTTAAAATTTAAAAAAAAAATGAATAAATTAGCCTCAGTAAGTAATAATTTAACTTAAATAATGTGAAATTATTATTTATCGTACTAATAAAACTATAAAACAAAGTTTATATTTTTAGACTTTAAATTAAAGTTGACAATTTACATATTTTATAACATTTTCATTGAATAAGTAAGTTGTTACAAAAAAAAAATTAAAATTTAGAAATTGTTTAATTTCTTATTGTATTATTTATTATCAAAAAAAAAAAAATTATAAAGTATTTTTTTTAAGAAATAAACACCTACTGTAAACAATGATCTACAATAATAGTCGTGTTTAACTTTTTTTTCTTATTATCGATCAATTTTAAAATGCTTATTTTGTAAGTTTAGTTTAAATTTATTTTATATTTTCACCTTTGAAAGATTGAATTTTATACGACCAATATTATAAAGCAATTAAAATTATAATTATTATGTTTTTGATTTAACTTTATTAACATGAAACAGCTACATAGTAGACTTTATAACAATGCTGATGTATAATTTTGGTTAAAATGAATCTACTTGTTTTAAAATATACGTATATTTTCCATTTAAGACGTTTACTGTTGAAATTTATTTTTTGTAAAATTGTAATATTTCTTTGTTAAATTTAATTTTTATTAATATTTATATTTATTGGCCCGTGGACTTATTTTTATCGTTAAACTAACATGATTTTTGTTTAGCTACCTACATGTTTTCTTTATAAAAACACGTAATTTTGTATGATATTATTATAAAGTATATATTTATACATATTATATTGTTTGAATATGTAATACGTACAAATGTAAAATGTATTTATCTTGCAAACACACATAATTTGACACACAATAATTTTAACTGAGAATATTTTTTGTCTGAGAATACTATTTCGGGTAATAAAAATGTCTTGAAAGTTGAGATCAGACGTTACAAAAATAACTATACAGTAAAATAAACATATCGATTAAATTTAAACTTTTTAAACTTATTCAAACTGAATTATTTTAAATTTATTTTATGATATTATATATTTACATTATTATTCTTATTAAAACAATGAGTTTATAAAACGTGAATAGTATTTTTATTTTATATTGCCCCAATAGAATATATTAGTTTTATACTGTATTTGCTTTAAAAAATCAGGAAAAAGGTTCTTTAAGAAAATTAAATTGTTAAAATTATTTTAAAACCTTTGAAATTTCTAAATACTCTTTCAAAAAAATAATACTTTGCGCATAACCTAAATATTTCCATTATAATAGTTTGACAAGTTTTATTATTCAACATTAAATATCATACTTTTATGAGAATTAATTAATACTGCATTTATTTTTTATAAATACTCTTTTACCTTAATGTTAATTTCATACTGAGATTATTTATTTTATTTATTTATTTAAAATTTAATTGTTAAAAAAATAATATATTGATAGCTTTCAGTATAGGCTTTCAAAATATCATGTTACAAAAATTATGGGGGATGATAATTATATTAAGTTTTTATATGATTCCAATAATTATTATAATATGAACATTGTTTAAACATTTTGGTGTAACCAGTGGATGATTATGGATAAGGTAAAAGCCCCCCTCTAAGAACATAATTGCTAGTTGCGCTACTCGATGACCTCTTATTATTCGCGTAAACAATCTGGATGACTACACATACGTAATGCTCGAAGTTAAAAATCTAATTTAAATCTAAAACACTAAGTATAATATTTATTCAACTGCCAACTGTAAAATGTAATTTATAAAATATATAAAGATGTGACATATATTAAATATTGTTTTACTCAAATATGTGTTTATTTGACATGTCCCTTGAATTCTAGAAAATAATAATACGTTTAAATAAATTGTGTATATATTAGCCGATACAGTATTTTAATAATATTATTGAAATTATATTTAGTTACCTATACCAATATTTATAACTCATGATAATATGAATCTTTCACGATATAAAATATACATATAATTGCATTATGATTCGATACGTTTATTTTGAAATACCTTTTAATTTGAATATGATATTTACAATTTCTTTCCATCTACTTTAGTTTTATTATTAACATTCAACACATTCTATTAATCTAGTACAGCTTTGAATTCAGTATTAAATATAATTAAAAAAACACAATAAATCAAAATAAATAGGAGAACCCTATATTGAAATACCCTCCAGGCAAAGTATTAAGATGACGTCCAGCAAAGACCAGATTGTTATGATAATGATTTCTATACGGTCGATAAACCGAATCCATTTAATTTTGAGATTTTGCTTTTAGTTTCGAATCGATGAACACGGACGAATACTTGAGTTCTTTGTTTTCTGATATTTTCCGCATGATTTCTTATACCTAGAATCAACCACGGATAATAAAATGCAAAAATTTGGTTGTATTTCTAAATAATATTTTAATAGATCATTATTAGAGTTAAACGTTAAATTAATTACCGTTTTCATTTAAACACTGAGTAATTTAACTATTTTAAACAATGATTAAAACATAAAATATATTTGAACACTAATTGTATCTTAGAAATAACAAATTATAAATTTAAACATAATGCCATGGAGTTCGAATTATGTAGTTGATTTAATTTTAATTATATTTTTTTTTTTATTTACATTTTTTTCAGTAATCAGAAGTGAAATAAATTTAACTATTTTGAATCTAATAAATACAAATATATCTTATTAATTTATAATGTTTTCGGTTTTTTTTTTTCATTCAGTATGATTTACCTATGCGAATAACACAACTTGGTTATATCATAAGTAATATTGAGATCTATGAATTTATTGCATATAAATGCATAAACATCATTAAAAATATAGCATAGGTATTTTATTTTATTTAGGCATTAAAAATATGATTATAGAATATATTATTGGTAGATTCGTGTATAAACCAACGATTACATAAATGGACCGCGTTCATCGTAAATTATAATTTTCTCGTAGGAACATGGTAGTGTAGGCGACCGTAATGAAGTTTTAAAATAACCTTCAGGTGAAAATCCTGCTTAAGTGGAAACAATCAATTCAATAGAGTACACAATACAGTAGTTTAACTAAAATCCAAAATTAAGAATAATAAATTATGAACAAACCTGTCGTAAAGTAATAAAGTAAAATGTTTGAAAATAGTAAAAGTACCTAGCCCTAAATAAAGTGTAAAATGTATTAATCATTGCTGGTAATGAAAATAAAATACTAAAGTATTATCATTAACAATAGATATTGTATAAACATATTGAGTTAATGTAGTATA